AAATTAAACAAAAAAAAAAAAAAAAAAAAAAAAAGAACAATCTATTGCAAAATGCTGCAGGCTGCTTAGAGAGTTCACTATTGATTGCTGGCTTGATTTTTTATTTTTATTTTAATTTTTTTCATAAAAAGATCATTTAAATGCAGCATTTAGTCATGCTAAACTGCTACCTGTTAAAGAAAACAGATTATTTATTGGAAAAGCTACACTATTTTGTAAACAGCTCAGCTGTCATGTTATTAAAAATAAGTGTTACCTTATTTTCAAGAATCTTTTTTTTTTTATCATCTGAAATGTGCTGCGACTTATATTCCAAAGCAGCTTATATAATGCAATTATAACTTATGCCCACAAAACATGTGCAAAGTGCACACATTTGGATTTGTGCCGAATGAGAGAGGTTACATGAGCCCAAGTTTATTTCTATGGCACATTTCCCACACACCCTTAATTCCAGTTTCACTTTAAATAATGTTGGATTGGCATCTATAATAATTATATTGAATGCCACTATATGCTATGTTTGTTTTACACTTAATTCTAAATAGTGTTAAATTTTCATTTGGGGAACAAAAACACATACATGAGTTAATAATCTTTGTAAATATTTAAATTTTTTTTTTTTTACATTTATGTGTTTACATAATGTTTATTTACATTAATTCTTAATGTAGTAATACAATGTAACTCACACAACGATGCGACTCAACTGATTTTTTATTTATTTTTTTTATCTCTCAACAATGCGATTTTGACCCCATTTCTGGAAAATACAGAAAATACTGGTGCAAGCTAAACTGAATCACTGAATGCAAAGACGCAGCAAGAACTTGCACACTAGATGAAAATGTTTAACAGTATGTCTCATCAGCCCCCTCCAGCCAAACAGCTCAATACCTCTACTGCAGCACGGCTCAACGTCATTTTTAAATGTATTACACAGCCAACTTCCTGAGTAGTGGACTTCTTGTGCCCTTTTGTCTTATCCAACAATGTGTTGTGGCAGGCACCGGGCTGGAACCAGACAAGGCAGATGACCAAAACAAATGTGTCGTCCTTGACATGGCTTGGCTTGTGAGCAGTAACTGTGTTTCGCTTTTCCTCGGCCCAATGGCTCTCTGCGGGCTTTAGGCTCATCTCACCAGCCTCATACCCTGAGCTCATTAATATGTGGATGAGAGAGTCCATGTTTGGGACATCCATTTTGAGAGCCTCTCTTCACATCGAGAAAAGCTGAAAGAGTTTGATGTACCACACATTTCTTAGACAGCAGGGTAATGTGTTGGAGTTGCTTTCCATCTTCAGACACATATAAATGTAGAGCTCCTGACAACTGGAAACAAAGGGCTCTCAATTTGAAATGGGATCATAGATAAACAACACCGCTGGGTGATGTTGTGCCTCATGCAGCTCTATACATCAACTGAGTCTTTTACTAGCACAGCGTGAGACAATAGCTCTAGTTCCAAAATCTAGTGAGTGACCTACCTAAACAACATTTTAAGGCCTCATGGATGAACTTCAATCAGAGATAGAATAAAATAGTTTTGGCCAAATTATGAAGCAGCATCTGCTATATGGAATAGATAAGGAAATCACAGAATGTATTATGCCACGTTCAGTGAAGAAAGTGCAGAAAAAGCATAAAAAAGTGCCTTGTTAGCTTAGCAACATGCTAACGTTAAACTCTCCAGTGAGGAGAAACAGAGATGGGAGAAGGAAATGAGACAACAGCAACAACAAACTACTGGAGACCACAACAATAACAGGCAATGAGTTCTTGTATGAGAGGGTTAAGAAATACCCTCAACTGAATTTTTATCATTCATAATTTTTGGAGAGAAATAGCACAAACACTTGACAAAGATGAAACCTTCTGTGTTGACTGCCTGTTTTTGCCAAAAAGAAGAAAAAAAGATGGACAACGCATCTCCAGTTCCTTCCACTGTAGAAAAGTGAAGCCAAAATATCCCAGATATGGCCGCTGTCATCTTGCGTTGATGACATAATTTGTGGAGTCCAAGCTTGTGCCGTTGAAAGGAGTGAAATTATTTCCTTATAAAATAAATTCTTTGTGAAGCCAAACACTAAAAACACAGTATAAGTCATTATAATCCGTAATTATGTCCCCACTGGATGCAACAAATGCCATGCCATGCCACAAAACACTGGGCTTTGATCTCCTCGTGAAGCCAAACACTCAGAAACAATGGGTTTTGATCAAGATAGGAAGATCTGGAAGAAAGACCATTTGCTCTTCAGTCCCTTCACCCATCCTTCCCCCCTGGGCACATGGTCCAGGTCACTAAAAGTTGACAGAGAAATGCCAAGAACTCAAGTTGCTATGCTCACATAAAACATTTACTATATCTTCAGGATTCATGATCGTAAACTTTTCATGTTTGGTGTCATTTTAAAGGTCTTTGTGCGATTGGTAAATTGGTTTCAATTTCACAGTAGTCATTTATATTATTAGAAAGATTCAAAACCTTTGCAGAATTATGTTCTGCTGAGGAGGGGGTGTGTCCCCCTTAGGCCTGTGGGAACGTTTATCTATCTCCAGCCAGGTGCAACCCTGGAGCAGGGCGCGTATCTCTGAGCGGCATTGGGTCCCTGATGAACGAATAATTGAAAGTATGGGATTTACAGAATACTCAAATATCTAAATTAATAAACAATCGATATCTGTGATCAGCTTTTGATTAGAAATATTGCCTAAATTTAATGATCATGTGAAATTGGAGTCAGATTGAAAACGGAGCTAGATTAAAATTGAAACTAAATCCTGATCAATTCGGAAGCGCAAGTAAAATACCGAATACGCATTAAACCTTCGACCAGGCCGCTGGATTCCGCTTTTTGGGCTGGCGGGTGGATCCTTACACCGTAGTGATCATTAGCTGGAGCCGCAGTATCAAAGTCCCACCCAAACTCCCATAGACCCAATCGCAAGCTCACAAACATGACGCCACACCCTGTTTTTATAGTATCTAATAACTAATTAAACCTAAGCTTATTTGAAAAACAAACACTTGAACATATATTAGCATGATAACCGCATAAAATGATGACAACCATCTTTAGGAAAAATGTATTTGAAGAGTAATTCAATTTTTTTAGCTTAGTTCACACTAGGGGTGTCTCGATATACTGGTATTGACGATAACCATGATATTCAAATCATGAAATATCGACATCGTGTTAATTTAGGGTGTGACGATATACCGGTATTGGCGATAACCATGATATTTAAAATGAACAGGACACTTATGATCACACGACATGCAAATAGCCTACTCCAGTGCCAGTACCTGATTGACCTCCCAGGTGGCAGTACTGCGCCTTAACGCTGACACCTGTCACACAAGAAGACGCAGCTTGCAGCCGCACTACTCCGAGAAGAACCAATAGTATCCATGCTGCGGGTCTGCAGATGGATATATCTCAGAAGAACCATGTTTAATATTATCCAGACAGTAAGTTGCCATTATTGCACTAGTCATTGAATGGGAAATGTTACATTAACTTGTTAACAGCGGTTTCCTGTTTTCATATATTTAAATAAAAGGGTGATTCTTTTAATAAGTACCACTGTGCCCTGTGTTTATCAGTATCCTTATGTTCATTGGGTAAAAAGAAAAACTAAATAAACAAAGTAAAAATGAATTTGGCTGATTCCTTAAGGTTTCTATAGATATCACGATATATCGATATTGTGAATGATTTTGGACACAATAACCGTGGTGTGAAAAATCTAATATCGTGACAGCTCTAGTTCACACACA